TATTTATCGTTTTAATAGTTAAAGATTTAATCAAAAATGTGAATGTCTCTAATAATGGTCAATCTATTAGAGAACGTCAGTGGATGAGTTAAGCTACAGAAAGTTCATTTCATTTTCAAAAAGGTCTATTTTTGTTTGTCTTTTTCGTTGAGAAGCTGAGAGCAACAATTTGGTTTGATCTTCTCTGTCAGAGAGTGATCATAGTCAAATGGCTTTCCATTTTTATACTTTTCTGTTTTTTTCATTTAGCTATCGGATAGTCAAAGTAGTTATTAAACAACCTTTCAATGTTCCAGTCTCTCATTCGTATCTATCTCTCTGTGAAAGTTAAGATCAAAATACTTCAACTCTTCTATTACTCTTCGCAAAATCTCACAAAATTAACAGTCCACCTTTGATTTTCAACCCTCTTCAAAACTCAAATTGCAGTTCATCAAATTTCAATAATATATCTAAGTTCTATGTGTGTCACAACATTTCTATTTGCATATATAGTAAGTTTTTTTAATTCTTGTTTTTTTGAGAATTTTGTATTGTTATATATGTTTTTTGCTCATTTGTTCAGTTGGTAGGCTCTTACGATTATCGATCCAATCCTATGATTATAATCCTGTAGCCTCCCTCATCAATCAAAGATAAGATCTTGTTTTTAAAAAGCTTGGTTTCACCCTACTATATAAGGTTTCTATAATGCATCTTTTCTTTAATGTGTTAATAACAGACTGGTTTAGCCATCAATATTATTTCTCATTTCTCTTCCTTTATGTTCTTTTTAATCAAAGTTTTCATGGCATCAAATCGTGTTTTGATTCTAAATACGATCAGCAACGCAATACTGGTAATCGGAACAAGATTCTAATTCAAACAAATGCTAATGCCACTCACGAATGTGATGATGACGTCATCAACTAGACGCAGTCGGGGCCACCACTCTACTCGGTTTTCAATTAGTGTCAACATGGTGTATCTCGTTTTAGAGTTTGAGGTCTTTTGCTGGGTTTTGTGATGTTTTGAGGATTTTCCAAATTGAGTCGAATTTTTTGATCTGGGGATTTTGTTTACTTTCCTTGAAATTTTTGGTTCTAATCACTGCTTTGCCATTCTTGGTGCGGCCAAACCAAGTAGTGCAACAAACAGACCTGCTTGTTTGCACAAACATCTTGTTTGGTTGGCTTCTTGATGCCCACATCTTTTGTCTGATTATTTGCTAGTTTTGGTAAAGACTGCTTGCATCTGGCTTTTGGTTGACTGATCTGGACATGTGACTAATGACTAGTGATAATTATGCCTACTGGGCATATGTCATGAAGGATTTCTAGTTGGGTAAAAATAAGCGGACCTACATTGTCAGTGTTTCGAAGCCCCAACAGATACCAAGGTAAAAAAATTATGTTGAATCGAAAATGATTGGGACATCAATATGCAAAAATTATTATCTAGATTAACAACTTAATTGATCACGCTATTGGTGCTGATTTGGCTAAGTTTAACACAACAAAATAAATTTGAAAATATTT